CTTAAACTTCTACAAAGTTTTAAAATTGTGCATAAGTAACTGAAATATAATAATATATAAAATATGTGCAATTTGCCAAAAAAACTAACTGAATCCAACCCCAACCAACTCAACCCATATCTCACACGCTATTCGAGGTTCGGCGAGACCTGTAACCAGGCTGGGTTACGCAGCTCCAATGGGTTGCGAAACCCAGATACCACGTCCTAACCCTATGCACCGTGAGGAAATTGAACAACCCCCTCGGGCATCAAAAGGGGCCATGCGATTGGTCGAAGCCAAACAACAACAATCGCAAACCCAACCCACAGCCTGCTCCCTCGACAGCAAAAACGACTAAGGGAAAGATGGTAGCAGATCTCGAATTCGGGATCTGTAATTTTCTCGACTTGCCCTCGTTTCCTCCTAGATCCATGCTCATGCGTAGCCATGCTAGAGAGTTGGTAGCGACTTATAAGATGGGATCGAGGCGACACCGACGTCAGGCTAGTGAACGCGGATATCAATTGAGGTTCTTGGCGCGCGTAGCCTAGCCTGGACGAAATCACCAGCGCCTGAAAACAAGGGCAGGAAACAAATGACGAATCCCCCGCTGCTAATGGCCCACCGTTGCGGGCCGCTATAGCTTCCCGCCGCCTTCGATCTCCTCGTACGAAAATGCCACCCGCGGCTTCCCACATCGTGCTATCCCTGTCCTCGCGCTTCCTTGCTTCCCAAATCCCCGCTTCCCGCTTTCGAAAGCACGTCCGCATCTCACCTTCACGTGCTGCAGCATCTCGCTGTCCCTCGCTTCCTTCCACCCGCTTTCACCCGCGTCCCGCTATCGCTTGCTCCCCGAATCCCGCTTTCCCATGCTCCTCGCATTACCTTGCTCCCCGCATTCCAATGCTCCTCGCATTCCCATGCTTCCCTCATTCCCATTTTCCCGGCATTCCCATGTTCCCCGCATTCCCTTGCTCCCCGCATCTTGCTTTCCCATGCTCCCCGCATTCCCTTGCTCCCCGCATCCCGCTTTCCCATGCTCCCCGCATTCCCATGTTCCTTGCATTCCCTTGCTCCCCGCATCCTGCTTTCCCATCCTCCCCGCATTCCCATGTTCCCCGCATTCCCTTGCTTGCTCCCCGCATCCCGCTTTCCCATGCTCGCTGCATTCCCTTGCTCCCCGCATTTCCTTGCTCCCCACATCCCGCATTCCCATGCTCCCCGCATTTCCTTGCTCCTCGCATCCCGCATTCCCATGTTCCCCGCATTCCCTTGCTCCCCGCACCCCGCTTTCCCATGCTCCCCGCATTCCCATGTTCCCCACATTCCTTGCTCCCCGCACCCCGCTTTCCCATCCTCCCCGCATTCCCATGTTCCCCGCATTCCCTTGCTCCCCGCATCCCGCTTTCCCATGCTCTCTGCATTCCCTTGCTCCCTGCATTTCCTTGCTCCCCACATCCCGCATTCCCATACTTCCCTCATTTCCTTGCTCCCCGCATCCCGCATTCCCATGCTCCCCGCATTCCCGTGTTCCCCGCATTCCCTTGCTCCCCGCACCCCGCTTTTCCATCCTCCCCGAATTCCCATGTTCCCCGCATTCCCTTGCTCCCCGCATCCCGCTTTCCCATGCTCTCCGCATTCCCATGCTCCCCGCATTCCCGTGTTCCCCGCATTCCCTTGCTCCCCGCACCCCGCTTTCCCATCCTCCCCGCATTCCCGTGTTCCCCGCATTCCCTTGCTTGCTCCCCGCATCCCGCTTTCCCATGCTCTCTGCATTCCCTTGCTCCCCGCATTTCCTTGCTCCCCACATCCCGCATTCCCATGCTCCCCGCATTTCCTTGCTCCTCGCATCCCGCATTCCCATGCTCCCCGCATTCCCGTGTTCCCCGCATTCCCTTGCTCCCCGCATCCCGCTTTCCCATGCTCTCCGCATTCCCTTGCTCCCCGCACCCCGCTTTCCCATCCTCCCCACATTCCCATGTTCCCCGCATTCCCTTGCTTGCTCCCCGCATCCCGCTTTCCCATGCTCTATGCATTCCCTTGCTCCCCGCATTTCCTTGCTCCCCACATCCCGCATTCCCATGCTCCCCGCATTTCCTTGCTCCTCGCCTCCCGCATTCCCATGCTCCCCGCATTCCCGTGTTACCCGCATTCCCTTGCTCCCCGCACCCCGCTTTCCCATGCTCCCCGCATTCCCATGTTCCCCGCATTCCTTGCTCCCCGCACCCTGCTTTCCCATCCTCCCCGCATACCCATGTTCCCCGCATTCCCTTGCTCCCCGCATCCCGCTTTCCCATGCTCTCCGCATTCCCTTGCTCCCCGCTTTCCCATGCTCTCCGCATCCCCTTGCTCTCCGCATCCCCTTGCTCCCCGCATTTCTTTGCTCCCCACATCCCCCATTCCCATGTTCCCCGCATTCCCTTGCTCCCCGCACCACGCTTTCCCATCCTCCCCGCATTCCCTTGCTCCCTGCACCCCGCTTGCCCATGCTCCCCGCATTCCCATGCTCCCCGCATTCTCATGCTCCCCGCATTCCTTGCTCCCCGCATCCCGCTTTCCCTTGTTCCCCGCATTCCCATGCTCACCGCTGTCCCATGCCCCCGCTTTCCCATGCTCCCCTCATTCCATGCTCCCCGCATTCCCATGCTCCCCGTGCTCCCCGCATTTACATGCTTCGCGCATTCCCATGCTTCCCACATTCCCTTGCGACCCGCACCCCGCTTGCCCTCGCTAATCCGCTGCTGCCTCTCTCCCCTGTTTCCCGCCACCCGCTTCCCCTAGCTTCCGGCATGCCGCTTTCCCCCGCTTCCTGTTTCTGCCATTCCCCCCTTTTCACATCCCGCTTTCCCCCGGTAGCGACTAGCGCTTTCCGCTTCACCTCGCGGACCGCTTCCCGCTTTCCCTTGCGGGTCGCTTCCCACTTTCCCACGTTGTAACGTGTTACCCGCTTTTTCGCGCACCGCAATCCCCTGCCTTCTCATTGAATGAAAACAGATAAAGGTTCAAGGCGCAGCAGCAGGGAAGAAAGCGAGGCCGCAGGGAAGAAAGCGAGGCCGCAGGGATGGGGAAGACAACAGATAGTAGCGAGCGGGAGAGGCGAGAGGGGAGGGAGAGGGGCACGAGAGCAGTGGAGGGGGGAAGGCGTGAGAGCAGGGAGGGAGTGAGGCATGAGAGCAAGGAGGGAGTGAGGCACGAGAGCAGGGAGGGAGTGAGGCATGAGAGCAGGGAGAGAGTGAGGTATGAGAGCAGGCGTGAGTGCAGGGGAGGGGGAGAGGCGTAAGAGTAGGGGAGGGGGAGAGATGGGAGAGCATGGAGGTATGAGGTGCGTGATAGGGGGGGATGTGGGAAGGCGCAAGAGCCATGGAGGGAGCGAGAGGTGAGAGAAGGGAAGGGAAAGAGGGGTACGAGTAGGGGAGTGGGGAAAGGGAGAGTGCAGCCCGGAGGAGATGGGGAGGGGAAGAGGCGTGAGGGCGGGGGAGGAAGAGGCGTGAGGGGCATGGGAGGGGGAGAGGGTGTTAGGGTAGGGGAGGGGGAGTGGCGTGAGTGCAGGAGAGTGGGGAAAGATGGATTGCAGTGAGGGTAGGGGGGTAGGAGTGAGAGCAGAGGAGTGGGAGAGGCGTGAGGGCGTGAGAGGCAGGGACAGCTGGAGGAGATGGGGAGGGAAAGAGGCATGAGGAGAGGGGAGGCAGATACGCATGAGGGCAGGGGAGAGGGAGATGCATGAGGGCAGGGGAGGGGGAGAGGCATGAGGACAGAGGAGGGGGAGTGGCATGAAGCAGGGGAGGGGGAGAGGGCAGTAAGTGTGAGCGGGATCCCGGCAGGACAGGCAGTAAACACTCTATAACTAACCCCTCTCAACCCCCCGCCCCCCCACTAACGTATGCCCCCATCTCTTTCTCCCCCCCCCCCCCCCCCCCTCCCCCCCCTCCCCTCCTCCCCGCTCTCTCGCAGCCTACCGGGTGGCACATGATTGCCAGTCAAGCTCACCTTGGACAACCTCTCCGTTAAAAGCCAGACTTCACCCCAAACCTATCCACTCACTCCCCTGTGCATCTCTCAACAAACCACATTCTGTGGGTGATCTCCGTGCGGCCACGCATTCAGACATTCAGCCGTTATTGGCAAATGCTAACCATGTCTCTTCTCTAGCATCATCTACAACGGCTGCAGAAAATGGAAATTATGTAACCCTACATATGTGAACGACACCTTGTAACTGAGTTGGTCCAGGGTTGTAAAGCCAACTTGAATTTTGAGGTCACAATTTCTCTCCCTCAAGTTTGTTACATTCTTCCTGCCACATATATATGTGACCTTTTCAGGTTATGAACGGCTTGTCGGTCGTTCTGTAAGAGTACATGAACTTGGCACCAATTTTGGCAACAAGAGTAGCTTTTTATCTTTAGCATAAAGTCATATTAGTCTAGATACATTCAGAAAGTCAAGTTCCCATGGAAAGCGATTTAATCTACTAAACAAATCCAAGACACACACTGAGATATATCGAAAACGTCTTAGCATATATAGTAACAAGTGTTGGCTACAACACCTCCATCCAACCACCAAGAAGGGCGTAGTCCAACGGAATCGGTGCAAAACACGGCTTTATGAAATTTGTGAATACCAAACTGAACCGAATTGAATCGCAAATTACAGCGTGCTATAGAGCGCGCGGATTCTGGGATCCAAAATTTCAGGTCCTATTTGCTTGATATTCGGGTCTGTAGAAACACGCCCCTATTCACAAAATGACGTGCTGACCAATCACACACCCTTTGCCCCCACCCTTCACCTGCAACCGAACCCAACAAAATTTATTCATCCAACTCAGCCCCTGCACCTCGTCCAACCAATCAAAATCTGCCAAGTGGTTCCAGAGCGGCTAATCCAGCTCAACCACCTGCTCGCCCCAACCACCCAGCCCACCACGCTGCACCCCACATGCCAGCACTCCAGCCCACCACACACTTCTGATCCCTTCCTTACTTGTCCCCTTGCGCCCTCTCATGCCTTCCAGCTAGACGTTACTTACAATAATAGCCCTCGGCAGTTCTATCTGCATCAGTTTCAGCTCCCATTCTCGCCTTCGCGCCCCCTAGTGAGCAGCTCCTTCCTCTCCCACAGGCTTCGATTACCATGGTCGTTCTTAGTGTGCCCTATGCTGAGGATCTCGTTTCACGATGGTCTATCATTTCAAGCAGCTCGTAGGTGACTAGTCTTGTTCACCCATGTCATTCTTATCTGCATGTTCATGAGCTAATGCGCCATTGGGGGGGCAGGAGAGTAAGGAGGGGCGAGGGGGAGGAGGCGGCACGCAGAAGCGGTATCTTCGGGAGGCGGGGCGCCTGGCGGAGTACCTAGATGCGCGCATGGAGGCAGCCACCAGGTGCGCGGACGCCAGCAGATGCGAGCACGGTGGTGAAACATCTCTTCCCTTGTTTCGCTTCTCGCCACTGTCCTTTTCCTCTCTCCTGTACTCGTTCCGTCTATGCCCGTCTCGATCCCCCTTTCGTGCCCTCTCTCCCTTTTCGCTCGTCCCAGCTGCTCTTTCTCCCCCTCGCCCCTGGAGCTGTGCTTGCCATGTGTGTGCTTGCCACGTGTGTGCTTGGCGCAGCAGTGGTGCGGCGCGACTCGTGCAGAGAGGCATGGCTAGTAGTGTGTGTGGGAAGGTGGAGGGGGCAGAGCGGAATGGAGAGCATCCGCTCTCGTGCACTCCCCTTCTCACGCGCATGCCCCATCCATCCGTCCATCGTGTGTGCGCTGCAGGTTGGGCGCAGCAGCAGCAGGCCCGAGGAGCAGTGAAGGGGGGCATGCTGGCGCCATGGGTGGTGCGCTGCCAGACGACGTGAGCGCCATGGCGTATGCGCACGACCTGCCACCCAAGGTGCATACATGTGCCTTGCTATATGCATGGCGGTGTGAAGCCATCCCTGGCAGCCCATCCGTGTGCCCTCTGTTCTGCCTGTTGCGTGCCCATGCCACCCCCTTTTGGCTCTTGCACGCCACGCCTCTCCATGCGACCTACCACTCTCCTTGCCTTTACTCACCTCTTTCTTTCACATGGCTGCATGGAATCACATGGCTGCATGGCATGGCATGGGCGCATGGCACATGGGTGCATGGCATCACATGGGTGCATGGCATCACATGGGTGCATGGCATCACATGGGTGCATGGCATCACATGGGTGCATGGCGTGGGTGCATGGCATCAGGTGCATCTGTGGCAGCACCACGAGTCTCTCTCCTCGCGCCATCTCTCCTCCTCCCTCGCCTCCCTGCACCGTTACTTCGACTACAGGTGAACAGTCATGGCCAGGCGGAGAGGGGGGGGTCATACAGGTGCCACGGATGGGTTGCTGGAGTAGAGAGGCCCATGAGAGGGCATTCGCAGGCACGTGCGAGTGTGGGGGGCAGTGGGAAGGGCCTGCTGCATGACAGGGCAAGGAAGTGTGGGGGAGAGTGTGGCGTTCGCACGTTGATACGTGTGATCGTGTGAGTGTGCTGTGCACGCGTGGCCCTCATGGTGAGGCGGCCACGAGGAGTGCAGCCACCACGAGGAGTGCAGCCGCCACAAGGAGTGCAGCCTCCATTCTGTTCTTCCATGTCTTGTGCGCTCTTCCCCGACTCTTGCGCACACCGTCACTCCACCCTCCCGCTTCCGCCCCCTGCCACCCCCTCCTCTCTCCAAGCAGTGCGGGCGTGACAGCGGTGGGTAGTCGCCCGGCGTCGGAGTGGTGGGCGGGGCGATTCCAGGCGGGGCTGCTGGTGGAGGGCGCCATGCACGCACGATACGGGCACACACAGCACGCCATGGGGGTATGAAGGCATTTGTTACTTGACGTATCAATCAAACTAATGATTCGCATGTGTCCTCACGATGCTTGTCTTTATCGCAGCTAGCTATGTAACTCTGTCCAACATCGAGATAATTCCCCATGTAAGTCCAATTGTAAGTCTCGCTGGTTATTTGATCGTCGGACTAATTTCACAACAATGTCTCGTATGACGTGCAGAAATTTGTAGCCTACCACGAGCTATTTCCTCCGGTAAGCTGGCTCTTGTAATTGCTATCGTATGGAATATAACTAATTTGATTACAATGTTTGAACCTAATGTGCAGGACTCAATATCCAGCGTCGCGCTACTTCGTTGTTGTAAGCATTGTCCTTATTGTTGGTGATTTCGACCTTGGATTAATTTCGAGATAACAAGTTCTGAACGTAACGTGCAGGAATTCCAATCCAGTTTCAAGAATTGCTGCTCCTGGTGTGCCGCCGCTCAGTTTCTCTTTGTGTTAGTGCGGGACCCACATAGGGGTGCTGGTAGGCAAGGGCGGTTGGGCCATAGTGGTTGTGTACTGTGGTGTAGATGTTTTTTTTAATATATCAAATAATTTGCTTGTTGCATTATAAGTAAATCCAAACGAGGCATGCCCTAATTGTACTGAACCATGCCCAAAAGGGTACTGCAGCCTGCAAAAACGGATCCATGAAAAACACCACCAAACGTTTGCAACAAATCATGCTGAATACTAAAAATGGTGAGCATAAACTTCTCTATGCATTTACATGTTTACTGCAAAAGTTGTAGAAAGAACACCGCCATGCATTTGTAAACGAACCACAGAGATTACCGAAAAGACACCTCTAAGCATTCGCTGTCGTGAACCAAAAAGTGTTTCGGGAAATGTTGCCCAAGCATTCGCCAAGTGTTCTGATCTTAGTCCGCCATGAATTTTCACCCACATGTTCGCAAAACGTTTGCAAAGCATTCGCTCGAATGCTACGCAATCGTTTTGCGAGCACACCTTTTTTGCGATGTGGATTATACAAGCTAGAGTCGCTATGGGGCCCATGGTGCTTTGTTGGGCGGATTATGCAAGCTAGAGGTGCCATGGGGCCGGAGGTGCTGTGATCGGCGGATTATGCAAGCTGGAGTCGCCATGGGGCCCAAGGTGCTTTTTAGGGCGGATTATGCAAGCTAGAGTCGCCATGTGGCCCAGCGTGCTTTGTTGGGTGGACTGTGCAAGCTAGAGTCGACTTGGGGCCCAAGGTGTTTTTTGGGCGGATTATGCAAGCTAGAGTCGCCATGGGGCCCGAGGTGCTTTGTTGGGCGGATTATGAAAGCTAAAGTCGCCATGGGGCCCAAGGTGCTTTGTTGGGCGGATTGTGCAACCTAGAGTCGCCATGGGGCCCGAGGTGCTTTGTTGGGCGGATTATGAAAGCTAGAGTCGCCATGGGGCCCAAGGTGCTTTGTTGGGCGGATTGTGCAACCTAGAGTCACCATGGGGCCCGAGGTGCTTTGTTGGGTGGATTATGCAAGCTAGAGTCGCCATGGGGCCCAAGGTGCTTTGTTGGGTGGATTAAGCAAGCTGGAGTCGCTATGCGGCCAAGTGTTCTTTGTTGGGTGGATTATGCAAGCTAGAGTTGCCATGGGGCCCGAGGTGCTTTACTGGGCGGATTGTGCAAGTAGAGTCGCCAGGGGGCACAAGTTGATTTGTTGGGTGGATTACGCAAGCTATAGTCGCCATGGAGCCCAAGGTGCTTTGTTGGGCGGATTATGCAAGCTAGAGTCGCCATGGGGCCCAGGGTGCTATGTTGGGCGGATTATGCAAGCTAGAGTCGCTATGGGGCCCGAGGTGCTTTGTTGGGTAGACTACGCAAGCTAGAGTCACCATGTGGCCCAGGGTGCTTTGTTTGGGTGGATTATGCAAGCTAGAGTCGCGATGGGGCCCGAGGTGCTTTGTTGGGCGGATTATGCAAGCTAGAGTTGCCATGGGGCCCCAGGTGCTGTTTGTGTTGATTATGCAAGCTAGAGTCGCCATGTGGCCCAGGGTGCTTTGATGGGTGGATTGTGCAAGCTATAGTCGCCATGGGGCCCAACGTGCTTTGTTTGGCGGATTTTGCAAGCTAGAGACGACATGGGGCCCGAGGTGCTTTGTTGGGCGGATTGTGCAAGTAGAGTCGCCACGGGGCCCAAGGTGCTTTGTTGGGCGGATTATGCAAGCTAGAGTTGCCATGGGGCCCCAGGTGCTGTTAGTGTTGATTATGCAAGCTAGAGTCGCCATGTGGCCCAGGGTGCTTTGATGGGTGGATTGTGCAAGCTATAGTCGCCATGGGGCCCAACGTGCTTTGTTTGGCGGATTTTGCAAGCTAGAGACGACATGGGGCCCGAGGTGCTTTGTTGGGCGGATTGTGCAAGTAGAGTCGCCACGGGGCCCAAGGTGCTTTGTTGGGCGGATTATGCAAGCTAGAGTTGCCATGGGGCCCCAGGTGCTGTTTGTGTTGATTATGCAAGCTAGAGTCGCCATGTGGCCCAGGGTGCTTTGATGGGTGGATTGTGCAAGCTATAGTCGCCATGGGGCCCAACGTGCTTTGTTTGGCGGATTTTGCAAGCTAGAGACGACATGGGGCCCGAGGTGCTTTGTTGGGCGGATTGTGCAAGTAGAGTCGCCACGGGGCCCAAGGTGCTTTGTTGGGCGGATTCTGCAAGCGATGGTCGCCATGGGGCCCAAGGTGCTTTGTTGGGCGGATTGTGCAAGCAAGAGTAGCCATGGGGCCGAAGGTGCTGTGTTGGACGGATTATGCAAGCTAGAGTCGCCATGTGGTCCAAGGTGCTTTGCTGGGTAGACTATGCAAGCTAGAATCGCCACGGGGCCCAAGGTGCTTTGTTGGGTGGATTATGCAAGCTAGAGTCGCCACGGGGCCCGAGGTGCTTTGCTGGGCGGATTGTGCAAGTAGAGTCGCCATGGGGCCCGAGGTGCTTTGTTGGGCGGATTATGCAAGCTAGAGTCGCGATGTGGCCCAAGGTGCTTTGTTGGGCGGATTATGCAAGCTAGAGTCGCGATGTGGCCCAGGGTGCTTTGTTGGGCGGATTATGGAAGCTAGAGTCGCTATGGGGCCCGAGGTGCTTTGTTAGGCGGATTATGCAAGCTAGAGTCGCCTTGGTGCCCAAGGTGCTTTGTTGGGCGGATTATGCAAGCTATAGTCGCCATGGGGCCCGATGTGCTTTGTTGGGCGGATTATGCAAGCTATAGTCGCCATGGGGCCCAAGGTGCTTGCTTGCAGATTATGCTGCCGGGGATCATGCAGAGATTGCCATGTTGTAGAATATCACGATCTCCTCTCACTCGATTTTGCATTCGTTTTGTGGGTATTGTGGAAGAAGGCAAGCAACAAGGGAAGATGCAAGTCTTAATTGTATAGGGCAGTGTCTCTTCGGCAGAGAGCTTCCATATTGTAGGGCTGCATACTGGTGTCATGCAATTTCCGATGTTGCCACGTGCTTGCCCTCTGTTTTTCGTCCATCAGATTCCTGGAATACAACAGCTTTAGTGGCACCATTCCTCCTTCCATTGGAAAGCTCACAAACCTTCGTAGCTTGTAAGGCGTCATCTTAGCTTGTCTGGTTGTAGCCAGAATGTGCACCTGCATGCAGCTATGCATGTGAGCCGCGCATTCTTTGAAAGATATAGGTGTTTTGGTCCTTTAACCCCGAAACCCATGCTAACTCAATCAGGTCTCTCCTTGAGCGTTCCTGAATCACTGCTCGCAGGGATCTTTTGGGTAATAGTCTGTCTGGCTCGCTACCAAGAACACTTGGCAACCTTCAGAAGCTGAGCAGCTTGTGAGCATGTTCATTACAAGGCTCAGATGACACTCATCTCGGCTCTTAGGACCACATTCCATTAGATCTCACGACCCAGACCATTTTTCAGGGAGACGGCTTTATGCTTTACTTGCGAGTATTATCGTAGTCACATCCATGTGCATTAGTTCAGTTCTGGTAACGTGTGCATGCCCTCTTTTGTTTTCTCATCAGAATCCTTACTTACAACAGCCTTACTGGCACAATTCCTGACTTCATTAGCAAGCTCACGAACCTTCAGAACATGTGAGTACCGCTCAGTTGGGTTGAAGTATGAGCGAGCCAGTGCCCGTCCCTGGTTGTTCATTCTCTGCATGAACGGTAGGCATGAGCATATGCCCGACCCGGCCTGGCCCGACTTTGAAATGGGTCGGGCTGGGCCGGGCTGGGGTCGGACCGAATCCCTAAGTTCTCTGGTCCAGCCCGCCTTTTAGGCACGGGCCGACCTTGGCCCGTGGTCAGGCCAGGCCGGGCCGCGGGCAAGAAGCAAGGTGCAAAATAACGGTTTCGGTATTAAACGATCCGTTTTTTTACGGTGGGGTTTGTTTAAAAACACCGTTTTTTTGTTAGAGTTTTTTTTCCAAAGATAGCTTTTTATAATGCACGCGGAAACAAGTGGCCTGATTGCTAAGGTGGTCTAGCATCGTTCTAGCATCATAAACGGCTTTGAAGCAGGTACGTGATGTCCATGCCCTTAGTCCGTCACCTACTAGGCTTCTTTCTCCTCCTTCTCCACGGACCTCCCCGTCCTCCTCCTAAGCGTCATCCCATCTAGTGCTCCACCCCTAGTCCTCCCCCTCCTAGTCCTCTCCACATAGTCCTCCCTTGTCCATTCCTCGTCCTCCTCCTACTCCTCCTCTCCTTCTCCCTGTCCTCTTGTTGCTCAGCCTCATCCTCCTAGTCCCTCTACGCCTAGACCTCCTACACCTAGACCTCCTACGCCTAGCCCTGCTCCTCCTCGTCGTCCTCCTCCCCCTGCTCCTCCTCCTCCTCCCCACTCTCGCCGTCCCTGCAGTCCCATGGGGATCCCCCCTTGGCCCTCTTGACTTGCCCGTCGGGTCCACTGCTGTCGCCATCAACCTCTGCCTCCTCCTCCTCCTCCTTCTCCTCCTCCTCCTCCTCCTCCTCCTCCTCCTCCTCCTCCTCCTCCTCCTCCTCCTCCTCCTCCTCCTCCTCCTCCTCCTCCTCCTCCTCCTCCTCCTCCTCCTCCTCCTCCTCCTCCTCCTCCTCCTTCTCCTCCTCCTCCTCCTCCTCCTCCTCCTCCTCCTCCTCCTCCTCCTCCTCCTCCTCCTCCTCCTCCTCCTCCTCCTCCTCCTCCTCCTCCTCCTCCTGCTGCTGCTCCTCCTCCTCCTCCTTCCCCTTTCGGGAAGTGTTGCCCCTCTTTCGCCTCCTCTTACCTCGGGCTGTGGTGCCACTCTTCTTCTCCTTCCCCCCAATGTTCCCGAACGTGTCCCAATCAACGGTACACGCCTCCCCGCCCTCTTCCCCTTCTGGGTCCTCAGCCTCGGGTTTCTCAGCAGGTGGTGGGTGGATGGTGTCGCCCCCCTTAAGGCTGCCATTGCTCAGCTTGGCCCGCACCGCCACTTTCTGGTCGAACGCCACTCTCGCCCGCCGGCTGAAGGCCATGAAGGTGACATTGGTCATCGTCGTCGCATTCAGCCGGTTCCGGTCGCGGCGCTGGACGCGGGCCAAGGCGGATCAGTAGTGTTCGACCTCGGATGAGGTAACTGACTGTGATAGAACCATCACAGCCAGCTCCTGCAGGGCGGGGACCTCCTTTCCGTACATCCACCACCATTCCGCATCCGTCAGCCGCCCGCTTTCCACGAGCACTGTCGCTGCCTATCGGGCTTCCACGTCTCCGAGGTGTCCCTTGCCCTCGTGGAAAGTGGCGAGCTGGGCGGTTGTCATACACTGCCGCTGCAAATCGCCCCCCCTTGCTCGAATCACCTCGTCCGCTTCGTTCCAGATCTCGGCGTCCGCACGAACCCCACCCACGAATTGGTTTCGAGGGCTGAGGAGCCAACCGAAAGCTTGCAGCGGGTTGTGGAGCTGCCCATCCCAGCGCTTGGCAATCACCTTCTTCACGTTTGCCAAGAATGCGGGCTTGTCCTTCGCGGCAAGCTAGGGTGTTTGGCAGACGAAGAACGTGGCTGCCGCCTCTACCGACTCGTTCGTTTTGACGGTGGCCTCTAACATGAGGCCATAGATGCGGCCCATGACGAGAGACCGCTTGTCGTCAGACTGAGGACTGCATATATGGGGTTCATGAGACGAAGGACCACGCCAACGGACTCTCAGAATCTGTCCGCCAAGAGGCTTTTGCGGACTGCCTTTCTTTCCTCAGTCCGCGCCCAGCGGCACCTCCTCCCATTGCTCGCTAATGACCATTTCCCGCAGCTGCCTCTTGACCTCGAGGAACCGTCCAATCATCAACACCTGAGTCCCAAATCGAGTAGAGTCAGGGCGGACGAGCTCCAATTGGCTGAAGACCTCACGGAATAGCATGAGGGCAGATGCTCTCTACTTCACCATCATCAAAACCCGATCCACCTGGGTTAGGACCCGCCTCACGGCCCAGATCGCCCCAAGGTCCTCCAGCGTAAGGTCAAGGACGCGAGCCACGCAGTTTGTGAAGAAGACTTGCGGGAAGCCAGCTGGCCGCCCGGTTGTTAGAAACGTTGTCCATGCATACTTAGACGACAAGGCGATCACCCACGTTGCAGATAGCGCACCGAATCAGCTTCTCCACCACACTGCCCGCCCCCCTTGCCCCCTCCTCGAGCCATGGCTAGGTGTGGAGGAACCCCACCTCCTCCAGGTAGGCTCACAGCCCTGGGCTGATCGCCAAGCCCAGATCCCACTCCGAATCGTCGTCATCCCCCTCCCTCCCCCTCTGCTGCAGATACGCCAACAAGGCGCTGCCCTGATTGTGAAGCGATGCATGAATGGATCCGCTCTCTCCCAAGGCGGTGACGCTGCCAGTGGATGAGGTTGCGGCCCTGCGAGAAGAGCTGATCGCTAGGGGCAGACGTAGCCGGGATGGCGAGGTAATCCTGTGCCATGAAACGTAAGGCAAGGCAAGGAGCTGGGTGTAGTAGCGCCATAACTGCAGCGGGCACTCAGTGAGATCCAGCAAGGGGAGGGCTAGGTACTGCTCAATCTCGTCCTTCACTATGCTCGTCTGTCTGGAGCGCACCAACGCCAGATGGGAGAACACTCCCCCCTCCTCCTCCTCCTCCTCTTCTGCTTGACCACTGCTCCCCCCCCCCTGTCTCGCTCACCTCGGCCAACTGGCCCATCACCTCATCCACGTTCGCCTTGTACACCTCCCACCTCGCCCGAACCATTTCCTCTACCTTGGCCACCTCCAACTCCTTCACCGCCCGCACCGTGGGCCGCTTGAACCAAGCAAGCTTCAGCGCCGGATCCAGAAATGTGGCGACGTTGAGGTCGTCAGTGCTGGAGTAGAAGTACAGTAGCATCTTCTCCAATGCCGCATTGATGCACTGCCTCAGCACGGATCCCGGCTTCGCTGCTGCCTGCCTCCGCTCCAGCCAGTCTAGCACCCCGTTGTATTGTGGAACCACGTGGTGCACAGTAGGGTACCGTGACCCCTCCGCTGCAAAGGTCACAGCGTTGAACGGCTGTAGGAAAGCCAGCAGCTCCCCAAGGAGCTTCCACTCGTCCTCGGTGACAGCCTTGCCGTCCAGATCTGCCTGATCCTTACGGCTGGCACCGTGTGAGGGACTAGGGCCGTTGGGAGATTGGAGGGAAGAAGGGGGGGAGGAGGAGGGGGGGAGGAGGAGGAGGAGGGTTTAGGGGAGGTAAATGGTGTTCGTTGTGTAGGATTCGATTGAACGGAAGTGCAACGCATAGCCTAGACCCTGAGCTGGCATGGTGAGCTCGACCTCGATTCAAATGGATGTACCTCACGGCACACAAACGCCTCGATGGCGGGCTTGAGCTCGATGGCCCGTTTGAGCATGGCGTGTGTGGAACCTCAGCACATGGGGTTGTCCTGCTTCAGCTTCAGCACCTGCTTGTCGGGATTCGAATGGAGCTGCTCCTTCTCAAAGGCGACCGTCTTCCTTTGCGAGAAGCCAATCCGTGATGCAAGGCCCCTCAGCTTCTTTAGGGGCTCAGCGACCTCAGGGACCCCAGTCACTTTTTTCTGGACAGCCAGGTTGGACAGGTGGGCAAGGCACCTGTCAAAAAAAGGATGGTAGGGGAGGAAGTTCGTGTATGGGCAGATCTACATGCTTGGGCATGGATCATGGCACGGCGTCACAGCATGCTTGTGGCAGGAAGACACTGAAGGGAGAGTAAAGGATGGCTTACCAAACATTGGCGGCATCCCCGAACAAGGGGGTCTCCCGACACGCCCCCGCTCCCTCTGGTCCCCAGTCTTGAGCAGCTTGAAGGCGGCCGCGTTGACGATCGCATTGTCCGTTGTGAGTGTCATGCATTGCTCTGCCAGCCCCCACTCGTCGATGTCCGCCTCCAACATGTCCGCCACCATCCTGGCAGTGTGCTCAAGGGGGAGTGGCACAAATGCAAGTGTCGCCTGCCTCAGGGTGAAGTTGATGTCGATGTCGTGGGCGGTAACGACCATGAAGGCAATGTCGTTCTCCAAGGTCCATATGTCGTTTGTGCACGACACCGCTCCACTGCCCCTGTCAGCGTCGAGCTCCGCCTTGGTCAGCTCCTTACACTGAGCAGACTGACGCATGATGAGGCGGGCCAACTTATGGCGCAAGGGAGTGACCCCTGGGGGGTTGGCGTGTACAAATGGACAAGTGTAAGGCGTTGGGGAGAGTTTGGCAAATGGCTCGACAAGTGCAGAGAGACTTGTGGTCTGCTGGAAACTGAACATTGATGGACGAGTGGAGCGATCGGGTAAGGCACTTACACTCGTGCTCAACTGTGCTGAAAGATGAGTCGCTGTCGACGACGATCTCGACCAGAAGCCCCTGCCCATCCCCATCCCCATCCCTATCAGAGACAACACCTGCCTTCCCAAGACCTCCAAGCGGGAGAAGGTCGGTCTGCCCCAGTAGGCCCTGTCTCCTCAGCCGGACCATGATGTCCCACGTTACCCTGTGCCCCTTCAACATGTGATGGCGGCCATTGCTGGTGGTACGCCCTGTGAATGAGATCCACTGTTCACACTTCCTGCACTGCCGCCACTGTGAACCCTCAGACTTGTCGAAACAGTTTGCCACGGCGCATGGAGGATCCCTCCCTTCCGCCACAGTCCCCCTCCTCCCCCCCCCGCCTCCTGGCCCCCCTCCTCCTCCCCCTCCCCTCCTCCCCACTCGCCCCTCGCACCCCGGGGCGTTGGCTCCCCATGTGAGACCGGTGGCATTCCCTTCTCCACACGGGCAGCCCCTGGTTGGCCAACCGTGCCAGACGCACTACCTTGAGTCCCGAGCCCAGTGCTGGCAATGCCACCCTCCTCCCCGTCCCCTTCCCCACCTGTGTGCGGAGGCGCCCCCGCTCCACCGCACAGGATTTCCCATGCGGCTTCCGACTGCCTCCTCCCAATCGCACGTGCCTCTGCACTAGTGGGGATAAATCCTGTGGAACGCTCCGCAAAATCGTCCTCACTGCTTCTGCCGCTAGACCAGGCTGCCCGGCCGCCACCTCCACCACCCCTCCCGGTCCTAGCTCTCCCAAACCCCACGCGCCTCCCCCTTGGGCCAGTCAGCTGCTAAACCAGTTGGGTTTCTTCTAAACTCTGAACCGTCGCACACTGTAATAGAGTAGGACACGTGCTGGCGCTAGTAGTAAACCCTTGTGGAAACTAGGCTCTATAATAGCCCACTAAACCCTACGGTGTGGTTGTTGAGTTGGCCCTAAGCCCTATGAAGTGGAGATTCCCTAAACCCCACAGCGCGGCTAAACCCTGGCGTTTCTCCGCTATGAGCTATGTGGTTGTGAGTGCTGAAGATTAGAAAACGTTCCTAGGCCAGATAGGAGGTGGGTGGGAGCTGGTGTGTAGGGCTTGGAAGAAACGGGCGCCATTCTGATTCTGCAAAGGAGAATCAGAATGGTGCGTTTGTCTGGGTTTTGTGTTCTCCCCCCCCTCCACCCCTCCTCCCCCCCACCCCCCTTCCCCTCCCCTTCCCCTCCCCTCAACCCCAACCTTGGCGAATTTTTGCGATGCGATCGATTATATCGCATGCGATACTATTATATCGCATATCACATTTTTATCGCGCGACATATGGCGCCGTAAAAATGCGATGAAGAATATTGTGCAATGTATATTGCATTGCATTGCGCGATACAATTTTCAGAGGAAAACGCAAAAATGCGATGTGATAATGCGATATGCCCATGTCTAACCACACCCATCGTGCACACTGGATTGTTCCTTCGTTGCGCAATATGGCCGTCAGTGCTGTCACTGCATATCCTCCATTCCATTGTTCTCCCAACAGAGCCCTTAGTTACAACAGCTTTACTGGCAAGATTCCGGACTTCATTAGCAAGCTCACAAACCTCCGGAGTCTGTGAGTGCCATTCCTCATTGGGTTGATGCGTGAGTGAGCCAGAGACAGTCCCTGCCTCTTCATTCTCCGCATGGACGGGCATCATTCTCAGGCTGCAACTATGCACTCCTGCGGCTATGCATGTGCTGCCGCCATAAGGTATATGCTCTTTGAGAGTATGCTTTAAGGCCCAAAGATGGATGCACTGTCTTGCTCATCCTTCTCTCAGTACCTCCTTTCTTTGTTTTCACCGAGGATACAAATTACCCTTTCATTGTTTAATTTCCATTCGGACTAGCCTTTCATGCAGTACCTGGCATACACTAAGACGGCTGGAGAAAGCGTCAAGTCCTAACTTTGTCACAAAGCTGTCACGCATTCTCTGGTCCTTACTTGACCGCTTTAACCATCGAAATTCTCTGAGCACAGGGCCTTTTCATCCAACAAGCTGAATGGATCGATACCATCAGCATTAAGCAACCTTCCGTATTTGTCAAACTTGTAAGTATTTCTGTTGACCAGACGAGCTAGATGAATGCTTTGGTTTGTAGATCCACAAGAACTCATTTGCAACTCGTGCTCACACATTGACTCACTCGAAGGTTCACGATGTTGTGGATATGAACAGTGTTGTCGAGTACGCCAGCATACACCTCATCCCTTTTTTTTGCCAACACCCATCCCGTCCTGAATTTTCGCCAACATGCACCGCCAGCCCTAATTTTTGTCAAAGTCCATGCCAAACCATTTTTTCACCAACATCCAACCCACATCTCGGGCTTGTTGAAGGATGTGGTGAGCACTAGGGTTAGGAAATACAAGGATCACGAAATTATGCGATGCAGCTGCACGGATATTTTTCCCTGGGAAGAGAACCAGCTTAGTTGCTAAGCTAGTTAGGTCTTTATTACAGGGGCTGGTTGAGCAGCCCTTAAAAAAGAAGCAGGTCGGGTGGCCCGGACTGGGTCAGGGATGACCCAACCTGTTTCGGCCGGGCCGGGTTGAAAAATTCCTTGGTCGACCTGACCCTGACCCTATGGGGACCGA